CATGCTTGCTGCGTGTATATGAGTCAAATTTATATAGAAATGAGACCAAGAGGCCAACTTGTTGCTATTCCAATGCACACAAAGCCGTATCTTGTATGAATCTACAAAATAGCCGCAGTTTATGAATAAGACGAAGCATATTATTCGATGGAAGCCTTGGTTGCAAAACTAACAAAACAGTTATATCTTACTGTTGTTTGAGGTTACATAATTCGAGAAGAAAAACATTGTCTTTAACCAACATACAACAATGTAACCATCTATCAAGGAATGAAAAATATGGGGGGTTCATCTTGTACTGCTCGTTCTGGCCCAAGATGAGCGAACACCTTGACTTGTATGAACCGTGGACACACACGGCAGTTGGCCTGGTTGCATTCGTCCAACTTGACAGCATGCCTCGAGTGCTTGCTCAGGGTGCCCCTATTGGTCTGGTTCCGGACACGGCTCAGGATGAAGATGCCCAGCCGGTAGCACGGCTGTAAAGGCTCATCAGAGTCGAGTCTTGAACATGAAGGGGAGATTGACCCAGCCCTGCCAGGTCTTGAACGCCTACAACAGCAAAGTTGAATAATCCTCTCAGTTACTAAAAAAATATGTGTTGAGGATTTGGGCAATAGTGTAATTCCTGCAGCAGAAAAGAAATCTCCAGCATATCTGCCACTACTTTTTCCTGAAGGTGCCACTACCTATTGTGAAGTTTGATATCAATGGACCAATACTCATTCCAAACTACGAAAACAGAATGACGACAGAGACCAATGATATTCAACTATCTAACAATCTCATGAGTTAAAAAGAGGAAGGCAAGAATATGGAAACATCTGCGCGATTTGAGTACAGTTCAAACAAAACCTATATATGTATACATGGGTAGCCATATGGAGGTGTAAACCAAGACAGAGGCCACCCAAGGTAGAACATCAAACAGTGACAAAGGAACATCAAAGCATTATATAGAACACTTGGCAATACACGGAGCAGAGAGCCTAGTGCTTGAACTCTGATGGAGTTATCAATATAAGCCTTAAACACTATTGTGAAGGAGCTTTACCTAGGCTGTAGCACCAGAGTACATGATTCCAAAAAAACTAACCATTAGAATTAAGTCCCAAGAGCCTAGTATTCAGAAACCTATAACTCTGGGTGAACATAAGATCATTCATACACTCAATCCGCTAATAACTAAGCAACACATAGTAGTTATCTTCCAGCTAGTAAAGAGAGCCAACCAAACAACCAATATGCCTAGGCTTCAGAGAGAAAAATTGCCTGACGGAATAACCTTGGCAGATAATTTATTAATACACCTCGAAAATCATCACCAAGTTTAACAGGTACGTGTTACTTTAAATCAAGAGAACACAAAAGGATCATGTAACATGGTTCTTACCTTCTACCATTTTGGAAATTATTGTACGCTGAAATCTACAGCTTCTGCTGGACAATGAGCATATGTTAAGAAGAAAAGTATAGTTTAGAAAAGTGTGCATAACAAAATATGGAGCGCGCGTCCCCTCCTCCCATCCTCTTCTAGCCTGCAACGACAGAGAGTAAAATTCCTCAGTTCTTCGGCTATCTATGGATCAAGCTTTTGGTCCTAGGATGCACAACCAATAAAAAGCATTACAATTTTATAAGGCATGAACAACTGTACCTTGAAGCACGATCAACATGCAGGACCTAGCTCGTAATTCTATTTAGGAATCACCATCTTCATAAAGTAACAAGTAAACTTGGTCATCCATGCACCGACTGTAGCTTGCTTGCTAATTTTCACATGTGTCACAAATAAGACAATCATGTTCAAACTGAAGGTGAAAGCAGTACACATTCAGTTTCTTATTTAATTTAGTATACTGATAAAATCTCTATGAAGAAGCAGACCAACTGCTGGAAATAAACTGGCATGGAACGAAATCAGTGCCACAAAACCATATAGACATGCATGCTCATCAAGCATGTCAAACATTTTACTCTTAGCTCGTGCTGGTGTCCTACCTCAAGAACCTCCAGCCCACACAATAGAAATTCATCCATCTCAGCCATGAATTCACTTAAATAGGAAACAAAATAAATGTTTTCCTCAGAAACAGTACACTGAAGAAATAAAACTATGCAGGCTGAACCGATGAGCTCTTATGACTGAACAACGCCCATCTGCAAACATCATCATTCTAGGCAAGAAAATAACTGAATAAAGCCCATCTGCAGTTATGACATCGGTCCCCAGGTTGGCACTTAACTCTTAAGGCTTTAGGTCCCTAGACACACCGATTTGATGTATCCATCTATATAATCGTAGCAGTACACTGTTGGGAGATTAAAAGATAGTTCAGATGTAATTTTGAGAATTTTCTCTAGGATGAACACATGAGCTTGAAAGGAGGGCCAATATTGGGTTTACCATGCAATAGACCTGTGCACCATCAACAATGGCATAATTCGGCCTTGTAGATGATGACTGGGATATGAAAAAAATATGGAAAAATGCATTGAAAGCTTGGACGTGAAATGTAGAAGATTACCCCCTTGATCTACCGATGGGAAATACACGTAAGCGTCAACCAAATGCAATCACAGTCAAGTATGATTTTTTTAATCTATTTAGGGTGTTTTTCACGTACTGTGCAAGTAGCAAGGGGCTGTTCTTCAGTAACAACATCTTATTAGCTTTAGATGACCCCCATTGACACTATACTTCTAATTTAAGTTAAGTTGTTATCCTAATATTCGGGAAAAAAATCACATGGAAAGCTCAAACTGAACTGGGATTATCGATCTGCGTATTATAACCTACCAAGGTTACCTACCAAGGCTAACTTAAGAATGTAAACAAAAAAATATAGACATTTCACGACATCAAACAATTACGGGTTGTGGTTTTAAACAAAAATACATGATGGATCATTGCGTACATATACGATTATAAAGGTACACTATGTTTTCTAACAAATGAAAAGACAATTACTCTTACGGTCTATAATTATAATTCAATTCTTTGTCGATAAGAAAGCAACCATCATTGTGGATACCTTTATATGCTTCCAGTGATCCTGTGAGCATATGCTAATACTCCTTAACATAAATGTCACTTATCATCGCCATCGTCACTGTCTTGCTGGAATCGCATCCTCTATCTGCAAACTGAAATAATAGCAACATCAAATCCCTCTTGAAGGGCTCACCCTAGACCTCCCCCCTGTTGATCTGCACAGGAATGGCATTCCATTAACCAAGCAAACTCAACAATCCACACCATGCATATAATATCTCAAGTAAACTTCTTCAGGAAATTCACAGCACACTTCAACCCACTTGATTTATACACATGAACTTAACGGGATATGAGCATTTACACACAACAATTCATGGTTAATGTGGAACTGAAGCGACAAATTGAGACAATCAAAATCTTACCTTAATGAATAAGCCAGGCAAGGAGTAGACTTCAGGGGCAACCACTTGTGTACTCTGAACAACAGAATGACCATATTCATTAAATATCACATTCAGCATACCCTCAAATCGACTGATGTAGATTATTGGTCTACTCTGCAAAAAGAAAAGCTAACAGGGGCTCTTCTCCTTGTGCAGACGTGTTTCTCCTTGTGCTATACATACTGAATTGGAAGGTTGACTTGCCTAAAGTACTGCCCAACGACAGCAGGCATAGCACTGACCCAAACATGCAGTTGCAACTAATGAAAAGAGGAGAGCAGTAGGAAGGAAGAAGGAACCTGCAGACGTGTGGGCTGTACAGAGCCATCTCTGGCCCAACGCCCCGTCGACCACCTCCACCATGCCCTGCACCTGCGGTTTCGTATAAGGAGCAACATGTTACAAATATGCAATATGTGATAGTCTCCATGGACAGATAGAGAAGATATCACAACGGGCGACGAGCGGAGTTGGTAGAGGATGTTACTGAGTTGGCGACGCAGAGGCAGCGTGCCTTGTCGACGGCGCCCTCGGCCTTCTTGCGCAGGTCCGCCTCCACCAACCTCACCACGTCGCCGGACACGCCTGGAACAAATCCCCAGAATTCAGCCAGAGCCCAGACCGGAGGATGAAATGATGAGGAGGCTAACGTACCGGGGCCGCCCATGGTGACCACGGGGGAAGGGGATGGCTTGGCGTGGAAGATGACGAGCTCCACCGCCCGGGCCCACTCGAGCGCGTGGTAGCTGTCGTCGACCCACCCCGCCGCCCTGCTCTTCCATGGCGACGACGTGCGCCCGATCTAAGAACAAGGAAGTGGAGAGGAAGAGGCGACCAAGGAAGAGGAGAGGAAGAGGCTAGCTGTGTGGAGGCAGGGGAGGAGGAGGTGGTGGAGGGCTGGAGGCGGAGGTGGAGAAGACGAAGCGGCCGAAAGGGAGGTGGGATGAGGGAGAGAGAGGAGATATTTTTACTGGAGAGAGGGCAATCGCTCGCGCGGTGCGATCGCTAACTATGCACTATTCATAAATGACGTGGACGCTGTGGTTGTGCCTAGCTACCCATTTATCCTTTATAAGGTAAATTCATAAAAACATGAGGTTAATGGGGAAGCGCATGACCTAGCTAAGGCAGCGTCTGCCCTTGCTTTTGGACGTCATGTGTGGTTTTCTGTGTTGCCCGACATTATCTGTATCCCAATGAACATTTCTGAACTTTAAATAAAGGGTTCAGTTTCTCAACAACAAAAAAACTTGACGCAGAGACAAGTGCGTCATTTTTTTTTTGAGGAAAGCGAGTGCGTCAAATAGGAAAAGCTCCCCCTACCTGGGCCAAACACCTTTTTGGGCTGCCACTAGGCCATCTGTTCTACAAATGGGCTTGAACGTCAGCGCCGCAGCCCTCACCCCGAACGAACCGCCCCCAGCCACTCCTCTCTCTCGTCTCCTCACTCGCCGCCGCCGCCGGCGCTCTCACCCCACTCGCCGCGCTCGCTCGCCCCGCCCTACCCCAGCCGATCGACCGCACCCCACACCACCGCGGGTCTCGCCTCGCCTCAAGCCATGGGGAAGAGGAAGGATCACTACGAGATCCTGGGCGTGCCCAAGGCGGCCACCGCCGGCGACATCAACGAGGCGTACCACAAGCGGAGCGCGCTCAAGTGGAAGGAGGCGGAGCGGGGGTTCCAGCGCCTCACCACAGCCCACAAGGTAATCTCGATCCAGCAGCCAAAGTGGCGAGCGGGCGGTCGGTCGTTCTCGGCCGGAATGCCGGATCGGCGCGCGTGTTAATTTGTTGCGTTGCGTGCGTAGGTTCTCAGTGACCCGCTGAGGCGCCCGCTCTACGACAAGCACCTGCGCGCCGAGGAGAAGCTCATGGGGAAGGCGCCGCCGCCGGCCGCATCCACGGGTGTGGCACTGGAAAGGGTGGTACGTACAGGCCGGAAGGGCGCAGCTTTGGGCAGGGAGGTTGCGGTTGCGGGCACCGGCGGCAGGCAAAATGCAGACCGGACGGGCGGAGGCGCCAAGCGTGCGGGCCTTCGAAGCTCAACGGGGAAGGCCAGCGGGAACGGCAAGCGCTCGCGATGCCTAACGGACGGCGCGACAGATGCGACGGGAGCACACGCGTCGACTACGTCCTTTTCCACCGGCCGTAGCACCTTTGAGATGGTAAGCCGGCAAACTTACCTATCACCATTGTGCATTGCCTCTAGGTTGTCACAGCTTAACACCGTCCTCTATGCATTCGTCTAGTCTGTGAAGTACACGAATGAGTACTACAATGAGGAGAATTGTTCATCCTTCGACGGCGAGCCATTCTGCCCCACCGACCATAGCACCTTCAAGGCGGTAAAGCCGGCCAACTTCCTGACCACATTACCATTGTGTGCATTCTTTTGGTAATGCCACAGTTACTCACGGATTAACACTGATATGCATTCGTGTAGGCCGTGAAGACCATGAATGAGTACTACGATGAGGATGAGAACCTTGGGTTGTGCGTGTACGAGGAAGAAGGCGTGCAGGATGACTATGGCAACCATGCCGGGGTTGGCAATGATGATACCAGGGTTTGTGATGACCTCATCAACGGTGATGACGTGGAAGGGGGCATGCCGTATGCAAAATACGATGATTGCGGGGGTGGTGATCACAACTATGGCGACCATGGCGGGGCTGGCAATAATGATGATACCGGGGTTTGTGATGACTACTACGACAATGCTGCGGGGGGCTTTGACAATGGCTACTACGACGGTGATGCTGGGAATGGAGCTGATGACTGGTGGTAGTGATCCAGGGCAAGACCTCTTTGAAATGTGAGAAGGAAGTCCCAAGTCGTGGAGTTGAGATGATGTGCAAGTCTCTATCTACTTTGCTAGTTCTTATGTTACCTAATTATCGTAGCTAGCTTCGGATTTACCACTTTTCTGTATGATAAGCTAGGAAATCAGTCTTCTGTATGGGGAATCTTAAGCAATATCATGTACCCTGCTTGTGATAAAGGTATTGCTAAATGCTAATGTACATTATAATTGGCATATGTTTCTTCATTGCTCATATGTTAAGTTCCGTGATCTGTTTGATGTGGGATTTTCTGGTCTGCCTTCCACTTACTGGTTTAACAAGATTTGCCCTAGTCCTGTTTATGAGGGGCTTGATCCATGTCCAGCCAATGCGCACGTCCACATCTCTAGACCATATTTTCCACTGATTCCATAGAACAGCTGAAGTAACCACATATTGATCACAACATGCTTTTTATCAGTACCGCTTAGTCTTGCCACATTTTCATAATTCAGGGGAATCTCAAAACTGGATAATCCCCGAGACAGTAATGGATTAAGCAACAATCTAATCAAAACAAAGTTGAATTAATGTTTTAGACATGCCATTATCACAAGTGATCATGCTCCTACTTTTACCTGCATTGATTCTACTTACCCCGTCCCCGACTCCGAGAAGGACGCGCTGTGAGTCCACTGCCCTCACTCCTAGGTATGTTTCGCCTGATGAGCTCTAATCTCAGTGCTGCAGCAATGGTGTTGGGATTTTGGTCTCTCTCGTGTCAGGCTTTGTGGTGTGGTCCGCGATTTAGTCCTAGCAGGTTTTGGTTTGCTCGCTGGGCGTTTGGCATGTTCTTGCTTCATCATTGGAAAAAAATTGTGCGAATGGATAGAATTTTTTTGTACCAGTGAGATCGAATGCGGGAGCAGAGATGTGAAGGGAGAAGCACATCGTTGTCTAACGCTTTTGCCTCCTATATTTGTGTCCTGTGTGTAGTCGGGGGTTCGTTTGACTTGTGTGAAGTCTGTAGTTGACAATAATATCAAGACAAGGCATGGGGGCTACTTCTTAATCTGCATTTCTGCTCCATGTTACTGTATGGTGCTTGTGCATAGGCTTTCTTCTCGATGATCTGAAGCCGTCCATGGGTTAGTGATTGGACCGAGTGTTGAGTAGTTTGGCTACTTGCATTGGCTTCAGTTGCACTGATTAATCTTAGTGCATTGTTATCTGAACTTTGTATGAACTCGATGATAGCGAGCGGCACGACCAAAGGTGATGCAGAAATAGATATTTAGCTGAGTTGTCTGAGCATTTACTTTATCCTTATATAGTTCTCACCACTTCAGTTCTTTGGCAATCTTAATATTTCCTCAGGATGTATGATCCTGCTCATCCTTCTTCTATGTAGGTTTATCAATTTTCTACATAAGCTCCCCTGTCTGGTCATCGAGAGCCTAGGAGCATAGTTAGTCTTGCACTGTATATTGTTGGCAAGGAAAAGTTTCTTAATACCGATCACATTCATTGTTATCATGCATAAGAAGATTACCTTGGATTTAAATGTATTATGTAAATTATCCAAACAACTAAAACATGATGTATTTTGTTATTCAGTGGGACTATCATTGTTCAGCAAAACGTTGTTTCACTTCCTCTGCCCACTTTATGTGCTTTCTTATTCTTTAGGCAGGTTATGCTGTTGTCTCCGTGTCAGCTCCATGGATATCCTGCTTCCCCACTTTCGGTATCCTGTGCCTCTGCCAACCAGGCTACGTGCTCCTACATCACTGTGCCAAGAGCCCAAGATCTAGATGTGAGTCACGTGCTCGGGTGTGGTGCTTGGGCTTGTGAAGTTAGACTCGCTCCTCGGGTTGTGAGCTGGTGATAGACGTGCTCAAGGCCATGCCATCAGAATTCAAGGATAGTATACATGCCAAAGGTAACAGTTTGCTGCTATTTAGCACACATTATTTTGGATTTTCACTATAAATTTTGTTGATGTATGCCAGTTTGTTTATCTGTTATCAGTTTTTTGTAGTTACAGATCGTTTTCTCTTGTGAAGTTTGATAAATCAAGAAGGAATCCGGTTGTTCATCTCACACATGATTCATGATAATTTTATTCTCCCAAACGTTGGATACATTGTGTTGTAATTCAGCTGTATTTACAGTGCACTCTAGAACACACCTGTAACTACCAAGTCTTAGTGTATCAGTTCAAACTTCCAACGGTTATACATATATATACAGAAATAACGGTAACTGTATGTGTGAACAGTTCAAACTTTCAATGATTGCTACTGAAATTTGTAGGAGTTAAAAACAAATATCTTCAGTTTTCAATGTGGAACGGATAATTTAGAAAAAAACTGTATTTATTTTGAGCAAGATGTTGCGTGGTGCTGGGTTGTCTCTCTGTGCCCATTCATGTTGTGTTGTTGGAGAAATTGGCCCGTTCTTGAGTGGTGATGTGGTCATGTGTTTTACCAGTGTGTTTTTTATGGATGGTCTTCAGCCTGGTCGTGGTCGCGCGTGGTGTGAATATTATACATGTGCAATGGATAGTGTAGTATGAGTGTATGACCAGCCATATTATACATGCAAGCCTTCTCAATTCCAGGTCTAGCTAGCTAGAGAGTATAATTGAAGCACCAGTCTAAGTCACAGAGTTGGCCATCTTTTTAATGAAACCTTAATTTGCAATAATTAGGTGTCATGTAAATAATACTTCAGAAAACTGTTATGTTTTGTGTTAAATTAGCAGAACTGATAGTTGACTTAAATTTCTTAGAAAAATCCATGGTAGCTACTCCATATATATGACTTAAAAATCATACCATTCAAAACTTCTTTTGAATATGAATTCAACGATATATTTTTTTGTTACATATAACCCACATTTGGTTGGTCAAAGTTCAATTTTAAAATGTGTGCACACCTTAGTCAGTGGAATGGAGGGAGTAGAACATACATTCATGATTTTAATTGTTAATTAGTGCTTACTGGCCATGTTGCAGTTCCCATTTCTACTTGATCTTTTCTTTGTATGTGGGTAACTCTCATGCCAGCTACTGTGTGATGTAACAGTCTCAAAGTTAGAACACAAGGTGGAATTTTAAAGCAACAAAGAACAAGGTACGCGAGTATAGGTCAAATGTGATTGTTTTCTTAATTTATTTGATGTTGAGTTACTGTGTGATGTAACAGTCTCAAAGCTTTTCTTGAGCTTCAACTTAAACCACTTACATAAAGGGGAGAAGGAAGGGCACAAAGCCATTTATCTCAAGATATTACTCCTTGTTGTACGCCTATACAACTCTGAAACGAGAAGTTGATGTTATAATGGTTTCAGGGAATCAAGCTCTATGTATTGTTACTTTGTTTATAATTCTTGCATAAAGTGCGTGAAACCCAACAGGAACAAGCTGTTGAGATTGTTTGAGTTGTTACTCTCATAGATTCATTCCATTTTGACTGTGTTCTTTGGTGCTTGTGACTTGTGAGGTTCTTTTGCCCTATGTTGCTTGGGTGTTTAATGGGAATTCATACAGTGGTAGTGATATTTCGTAGAGTTGTTGTTGTCATACTTGCAAGCTGACGTTGCCTTTGATTTTTTATCCTTATTTCTAGAGGAAAACAAATCACCTCTAGAATGCTCATATTTGAGCTTATGAATTAGATTTGTTAATGAAAAATACATTGCGGCATTCTTCGGCGCAGCAAAGCGCGCTAAACCCTTCTAGTCTCAGTTTAGAACTCGAAAATTGATGGACCTGGGAAGCTACGACTCCCTAGCTCTGTTTTAAATTCGAAAATGGGTAAGTGGATTTCCATCCTTTCGCCAAAAGGACATGTGAAGGTACTAACAGCTCTCGATTCAACTCTAATATGAGATATCTTGCAAGATCTCTTAAGAAGTGGTGAAGGAAGAAACAACCACCGCCAAAAAATTACTAGAATATCATAGTGTCGTGGTTCCAAGTCTGACAGTAGTGTAGGGGGGTAAGTATGGAGAGGCAAGATCTTAACTGTGGAGAAGTTGTAAGAACGCAAGGTTTACGAGTTCAGGCCCTTCTCGGAGGAAGTAATAGCCCTACGTCTCGGAGCTCGGAGGCGGTCGACTGGATTATGAGAGTATGAATTACAGGGGTGCGGACCCTTGTCTCGGAGGAGGGGGGTGGCTTATATAGAGTGCGCCAGGACCCCGACCAGCCCACGTTACAAAGGGTTCAATGTATATTAAGGCAGGGCGTTACTGGTAACGCTAGTAATAAAATGCTATGATGACCATAAAAACTACTTAATGACCGACCGTTAGCGTGCGGAGTGACTTTAGGTCTCCTGGCCGTCGAGTGGTTGGATCTTGGTCGAGTGATTGCTTCTCGGTCGAATGTCTTCGAGTCTGTCGAGTGGAACACCTCCAAGTCGATTGAAAGGTGATTTCTTCTAGAGATGTCCTTGGGTAGGGCAGTTAGGATAGGCCCGTGACCCTATCCTAGGTACATAGCTTCATCATTAGCCCCCGAATGGGTCGAGGTTTGAGTGGGGAAGGAGTTGAGAACTTCTCCGACTCGTTTTTCATGCCGTGAGCGTATCTTGTTTCGGATCAACGGACCCGAGTGACGACATCAACTTCCTTTTCAGTCGCCTTGATCCATTCTTAATTCTTCGTCGAGTGAGTTTTTTACTTGTAAGGCTCCGAGTGACGGTGCGGAGGAGATCTTTGGTCTGACAAGTTGTTTGCTGCCCGCAGATTTTGTGGGATCCGAATTTTGGGAAGCACGCGGGACGGGGGAGGCCGCAGTAATCGGATGGGATAGAGCGGAGCCGCCTCGATCCCCGCGCCACCTTTTTCGCCACGTATCGTGCGCGCGATCGTTACGGGATTTGACAGAGCCACCTGGGCCTACCCGTCAGCCACTCGGAAGCGGCCTCATATAAGGCTTTGGACCGGAGTCTCCCGAACAGCGCGTTCCCATTACCTCTTCTCCTCTTTACGCCC